ACATGGGGACAGACCCACAGACAGGGACAGATGCATGGACACAGGGACAGATCCACGCACAAGGGGATGGACCCACAGACACAGGGATGGACCCACAGACAGATCCATGCACAAGGGGACAGACCCACACACACGGGGACACACAGGCGGAAACAGGGACAGACCCACAGACACGGGGACAGACCCACAGACACGGACAGATCCACGCACAAGGGGACGGACCCATAGACACGGGGACACACAGGTGGAAACAGGGACAGACCCACAGACAGGGGGACAGACCCACGGACACAGGGATGGGCCCACGCACAAGGGAATGGACCCACAGACACAGGTGGAAACAGGGACAGACCAACAGACAGGGGGACAGACCCACGGACACGGGGACACACAGGTGGAAACAGGGACAGACCCACAGACACGGGGACAGACCCACGGACACGGGGACAGACCCACGGACACGGGGAACACGCCCAGCGCGGTGTCGCGTCCTCCCGGGTGACACAGCTTGGCCGCGGTGCAGGTGTCGCTGCCGGCGGTGCCGTGAGTCACCTCACCGGGCTGTCCACGCCACACCGGGTGGGCAGAGACAAGCGCCAGGACTTCCCCGTGTCCCTGGACACCCCAAAACCAAGCAACACCCTGACCCAGCCAGCACTCCACGCTGGAAACCCTCTCACAGTCTGGCTATGGGGTGGGAGAAAAGGTTCTCCCTGACTCACCTGGGGACCTTGAACACTCCGGCATCCCGGGCTGGGTTTGGTACCACCCAGGGCAACCCAGTCCCCGTGCTGGAACCATCAACATTGAGCCCCTCACTCCGGTGCTGTGTGCTGGGGCGCAGGCTCGAGGTGTCACCTTAGAAAACAGCCTCACCTGGAGCTTTCAGAGCCTCCACAGTTTTACCTGAGACATCCCCGAGGTGTTTTCCAGGAAGGACCCCTGGGCAGGAGCTGAGGGATGGTGGGCAGGAAAGACACACGCTCCCTCATCAACAGATGGGATGGAGGGAGAGGTCTGCAGGCACACAGGGCTGCATTTTGGGGTGGGGTCTGGGGAGGGAGAGCACGTGCTGGGTGTAAATATCTGATCTTGGCCTCAGGGGCTGCCACTGCACCCCAAACTGTCCGTGTCCTGCTCGGCTCCTAATGGAACCTGACAGCTCACCGTGCCCCTCCAGGGAACTGCTGAGCCCCATTTCCTCCAGGGAACTGCTGAGCCCCTTTTTCCTCCAGGGAACTGCTGAGCCCCTTTTTCCTTCGGGGAATTGCTGACCCCCTTTTCCTCCGGGGAGCTGCTGAGCCCCTTTTCCT